ACTTCGACCACTCAGCACACGACTTGCTATTTGTGGAAGCATGCCAAACTGTACGAAACCTCTCATTTCCACACATACTGCTGGTATTGCTTGACGGGAGAGTAAGGCCATTTTCACGGAGCAAACTTTCCGATGCCACATACCACACGTTAGGGTAAGACCCTTATATTCCTATGCACCAGATACAAGCCACATTGGCTCGCTTGCTTCTACAGGACTCTTCACCACACTCACTTTGAAGAAAAAGACCAGTCTCGTCCAGACAGACGTGGTATATTGGAAATAACTATGCATATATAAATTGGGGATTATATATAAAAATTCCTTATATATATAATGTAAGTAATGCAAATATATTTGTTAGATATATATAGTTTCATTTGGGGTCTCATGTGTTTTTTTTTTCTTTTCTTTCTAGGTGAAGAGAGGGATTCATATAAATGTTTAAATGTGCAAATTTGCATGTATTCCATCCTTTGCTATTGTGTTCTTATTTCTTTAGTATGCATTCTGTGACTGCTATCATCGATCTGGCATTTTTCGTATCTTATATTGTTAAGATTGTCATCGCCAGTAAAGAATCTTGGTAGGACTTCTCACAGAATCACATCACTGTATATTTTTTTAATATGTCCGGTGAGAAGACTCACCCTTGTCTTGCACACCTTTCTATTTTGGCGTATCTACTGAATTACTTTTCTACCCATATGCTGCGAGATTGCTGTCCGTATAAATTCTGGGCTATTCTGACATCCTTCCAAATGTATCAAGGTACATAATGAGAAAAGAGGGCTCGGAGATTTTGATTTATTAAGAACCTCAAAGTTGGGAACATTGTGGAGATCCACGATCGACTACGTGATGAAGTGATACAGCATATATCTATGAAGAAGAATTCAACCAGCAAGATCTATATAAAGGAAAGAATAAAACAGAAGGGAATGATTCGAGGTGATTTATTGCGCTAATGTAACGCTGAAACGGACATTTATTCTATGTCTTGAGTGTAAGATTGTTCTGTTTGTTATATAAAAAAAGATTTGATTGTAAATTATTTAATTGACACGTTGGATATAAACTCTACCGAGCCCAAGAGCCACTCAAGGTAGCGTGTAGCAGTGTAATAGGTGAAGGGAAGAGTTTATGATGATATATGAGGAAGATAACAGTTATCACTAGACGAAAGGTTAAGCTTGTCGTGCTGATGGTTGGAGAGCAACTCCTTGGGTGTCTTAGTTGTGATGGTTAGAAATGGTGGAAATAAAGAATTAGTTCGTCTAAGTACTTTTCATGCGAATAGTGAGAATATTTTCCCTTTTCGTCTGGGCGAAAGAGGTTGTAGTGTGGAAAATAACTCCTCGGCTATTAGGCGGCGTAGTCACTTTCCGACTGTATCGTGTCTGGAAAGTGAAGACTAGTTAGTCCCTCCCTATATATGCCAGCAATACGTAATTTTCTGCCCTTTCGAACTCTTGTAATGATAGAGTATAGCAGAAGGGGGTCTGGTATTTAATGCCGGCATGCAGGAAATCGAACCATTTACAGTATCTTTAGCAACGAGTCGTCTGTACACGGTCCACTTGAGGGCTGGGTTGAGATTTAGTCCCAGTAGGCGCTCGATAACTGGGGCTCAACAAGAGAAAACCCGTTCCTGTTAGAGATAGGTCAGAGGGTGATATTCTAGGCTCTGGTCATCTAGAGGCTTGTAGGTGTACACACATACCACTGTATCATCAACATACTGTTTTTCTTTTTATGTGCCATGTCCTTTCAGGGCATAGGCCATCACGTCTCTCCACCTCCCTGTGACCCTTTCAACAAGTTCCTTCCCTCTGCTTCCTCCCCCAGACCACGTTCTGTTATCCACTTTCTTAAGCCCGCCAAGTATGTCACGCGTTGTTTTCTCTTGTCTCTCTTTTCCTCTATTCGACCCGTGAGTGTCAGATTCTCCAGGCCATCCTTCCGCATTATGGGTCCCAGAATCTTGAGTTGCCTCTTCCTGATGTAAAGTACAAGCCCCCTCCTTGTATGCAACTTCTCTAAGACCTCGTCGTTGCTTACACACTCGGTCCATGATATCCTTAACTACAAACACGGAGATGAATTAAACAATAAATAATAAAAACGCTTGATTCCATTGGTGAAGTTTCTTTCAATTGTCCATCTTACCCTCAATCCGCCCTGTGAGTATCAGATTTTCCAATCCTTCCTTTCTTATTACGTGTCCCATATATTTAAGCTGCCTCTTCCTAATGTTAATTAGAAGCTTCCTCCTTGTTTTGCATCCTCTCTAAGACCTCATCGTTGCTTACTCGCTGGGTCCATGATATCCTTAACATCTTTCTATATAATTCGTAAAGCTTAGCCTAGAGCCTCGATAAAATTTATTTTTCTAATCGTTTTAGTAGATACGTTCTCCAATCGTCTAGGTCACAGATTTTTCAAGAGATTTGAACGGGAGTACAGTGATACTTCGTGTTTCGAGTTAAGTCATTTTCGAAGATACACAGTTTTTTCTTAGATATTATCCGAAAAAATAAAAGCCGCGTTCGGTCGACTTACTCGAGTTTGAGTAAATCTAAAATTCATTTTTACTTAATTATTTTTATTTTATTCAGTACGTACGTACATGTCATAAATACTGTCATAGACAATGGGGAGTGCTTATTTGAGGTTTATAGTGTGATTATTTCGACTTACCTCGTTTTTCGACCTATGTCGTAACCTCGGGAACCAATTAGCGACGTAAGGTTATATACCTATATAGGTTTTGCCCATGTTTTTCTTTTGTGTGTGTGTGTGTTTCGTATCGGATTTTCGGTTCTTTCTGATGTGTACTTCAGTACTCCAATTCTAATGACTTCCTTTAGAATCTGCAATATTATTTACTATTTTTTTTATTTGTCCTTAATAGGAGTAGGTTCGCCTAATGTCCAGTTCATACTCCTCCCCGGTCTTTTCAATACGAGTATACACTTATCCCTTGTTTCTTGTTTAGGATTGAGTTTCCGTTTCTACTTCGAATTTATACTTCTATTTTCCCTGACTAAACTCTGTACCATTTATTTATTTCTCTCAATAGGAGAAGCTAGGTTCGACTATCGCCCGGTTTTCACCCTTCCCTGCTCTTTTGACCAAGATTAGACGTTTATCCCTTGTTGCCTCTTTAGAATTGTATTTCCGGTTCCTTCTAAAGTCTAATTCAACTCCATATTTCTAACGTCATCGGCTAAACTCTGAAATTTTATTTACTGTTTTTTTTTTTATTTTTTCTCAATAGAAGTATATAGTTTTGCCTATAGTCTTGTTCACGATCCTCAACCGAAATTTTAAAAGTGAATAGAGGTTTATCCCATGTTTCCGCTTTAGGACAGAATTTCCAGTTCCTACTAAAATCTAACCTCAGCTCCATATTTCTAAAATAACGCCTAAACGCCGAAATTTTATTTAATGTTATTTATTTATATTTTTCTCAATAGAAGTATATATAATTTTGCCTATAGTCCTCTTCACAAACCTCAAGCGAAATTTTAAAAGTGAATAGAGGTTTATCCCATGTTTCCGCTTTAGGACAGAATTTCCGGTTCCTACTAAAATCTAACCTCTGCTCCATATTATTAACATAACGCCGAAATTTTATTTAATGTTATTTATTTATATTTTTCTCAATAGAAGTATATAGTTTTGCCTATAGTCCTCTTCACGATCCTCAACCTAAATTTTAAAAGTGAATAGAGGTTTATAAGATGTTTTCTTTTTTAGGATTGGATTTCCGGTTCCTACTAAAATCTAACCTCTGCTCCATATTTCTAACGTCTCCGCTTAAACTCTTAATTTTTATTTACTGTTATTTTTTTCTCGATAGAAGGATATAGCTTTTCCTACAAGCCTGTTCACGGTCCTACCCGATTTTTTTTAAAAAGAAATAGCGGTTTATCCCTTGTTTTCTGTTGAGGATTGGGTTTCTGGTTTATTCTAAAGTTTTTTTCTCGCTATCTTTTCCTCACATTAGCCGCTTGCATCTTAGTGGCATTCTGATCTGACTCGGGATGAATCATTTTAAAAAGGAAAATGGACTGAACATGTAGCTAAGAAATTTTATAGAAAATGGAAACGAAAAGGACACTTAATGAGGAAAGTGGGCTTGGAAAAGTGACACTGACAAGACGCACTTAAGGCAGGAACGACAGAGGTAAGCAGCGCATATATCAAGCGATGTTGCGTAAATGGCTGGCAAAAGAGGGTTTAAGAAGGAAAGTAACTTTACTATGAGTTACAAGAGTTGATAAGGGTTTCTAAGAGTTACAAATAGCAGGAAGTTGCGGAGAGTCATGATAACCTATTTCCACAAGGGATAGAGTATTTAGAAGAAGAAAAAGAAGAAGAAGAAGAAGAAGAAGGAGAAATAATAATAATAATAATAATAATAATTTTTTTTTTTTAAATTACGGGTTAAATCTCATGTTTTAAAATGGACATTAGTATACTTAAGTTTTTACCTGACTATATTAACTCTTATTTCAAACGGGTGGCACAAAAAAAAAAATAAATAAAAAAATCCGGGTAAATGAAAAGATATTTTTTTTCTTGCAATTCACGAGTAATTTTTTGCAATTTTATCAAGAGGTGGTTTTTCTAACAAAGTGCCAGTATCTTTCGATTTTATGCTCCTCACGATCGGCGCTTTTTTGGCAAACATTTCAAGTGTTTTTCCCTGGGTATTTCGGGATATTTCTAGATTATAATTACAGTGGTTCTTCGGCTATCATCGATCAACGGGAAGGAAATCCGTCTCGCCCATTGTGACTTAGATTCTCACAGGGGCCTGAAAAAACTTGGTCCCAGCAAGTAACAGTGGCCGTATGCCAGATATATCTGGATAAATGAGAAAAAAAGAACATAGATAGATAGATAGATAGATAGATAGATAGATAGATATACAAAGAGATAGATAGATAGATAGATAGATAGATAGATAGATAGATAGATAGATAGATAGATTAAGAACAGACGTAGGTAGATAGATAGATAGATATCGAAATAGATAGATAGATAGATAGATAGATAGATAGATAGATATCGAAAGAGTGAGATAGATAGATAGATAGATAGATAGATAGATAGATAGATAGATTAAGAACAGACGTAGATAGATATATAGATAGATAGATAGATAGATTAAGAACAGACGTAGATAGACAGATAGACAGATAGATAGATATGGAAATAGATAGATATTGAAAGAATGAGATAGATAGATAGGTAGATAGATAGATAGATAGATAGATAGATAGATAGATAGATAGATAGATTAAGAACAGACGTAGATAGATAGATAGATAAAGAACAGACGTAGATAGATAGATAGATAGAAATCGAAAGAGTGAGATAGATAGATAGATAGATAAATAGATAGATAGATAGATAGATAGATAGATAGATAGATAGATTAAGAACAGGCTGAAATAGATAGATAGAAATTATCTTCAAATTATGCCTTCGAATTATAGCTTCAAAGGTCGCATGATGCGCGAGTCAATACGGTATACACACACAGCATATATATATATATATATATATATATATATATATATGTGTGTGTGTGTTATAGGAATAAAGTGTCGCTGTCAACACTTGAGTTTGAATATAGTTCGACAGAGTGTAAACACAGGCGATCCTTGTTATTGTATTAAGTAGACCACGTGTCCATAGAGGAAACGCATATATAGGAAGTCGCGTGACGTCAAGATGGATCTACAATTCTAGTCTATCCTCTATACTATACGGGTCGTTATTTCTTTTCTATTCTCTATACTATTCGGATCACTATTCGGTGGTTACTATTCGAGTGAGTATTATCGAGCAAGTACTATTAGTGCCAGTGTTATTCGAAGGCGTCTGACACCAGTATTGTTCAACGGCGTTACTATAGTTTTATCTGCGATTACAAAGTCTCTACTACAACGAGCATTACGAAAGTGACAACGAGTATTCGTTGGCATTACAAAAGTGGCAACGTGTGTTCGGTGACATCACAAAAATATATACACATGTCCCACGAAGAGAAATATATATCATATATATCTACATAGCAAAGCAATGTATAAGGAGGAACAAAAAGGAAAGGTTTTACATATAATGTAGACATACTCCTGACCTGGAGAAAGTATTTCAAAATTTAAACGGGGCGGATTCATCTATGTCCCAAAAGGAAACGGCTCCGTTTGTTTGTAAGTTGTGAGGGAGTCCGCTTTAGTCTCAGCCTTTAGCTCATACTAGAAGAAAGCAACTTTCTCGTTTGGTTGCTGTCCTCGAACGCAAAAAAAAATAATAAATAAATAACTGCCGCTTTGGTCACTGTATGGAGTGACATCACGAAGCCGCCGTCATATTGAGCCACGTGACTTACAACCGCCAAAGGAAGATAAGCGCCTTACAATAATTGATTGTAAGGCGCTTATCTTCCTTTGGCGGTTGATATCATTTGCAAAGGTCAAAAAAAAAAAAAATATCGAGCATCGATATGTAATCTATTTTTAACACATACTTTACACCAGGGACGTCCAACCCGCGACACGCTTAATATTTCTATGTGATCCACTGCACCCTAAAATCTTTAGATGTATTTTCATTTGCTTTAGTGACATATATCGAGAAAATCATTCTCAGATTGTGCTAGTAGGTTCTCTTCACCATTGCACTAAAAGGGGGAGGAGGCACTAACAGGGAGAGGGGGGGCACTAACAGGAGGAGAGGGACTATTATGATAAAAGAAGATATTGGCAATATTATAAAAGGTAAGCAATGACAAAAATCACATTGAATTTATTTTATTTTATGTACATAAAATTTCTTTTTTTACTGTCAATAATACAGTATATTTTGTAATTATATATATTTGTATTTAAACTACAAATGTCCCATGATTTCTCATTGTCTGCTCGAAGCCTATCTTAGAGTAAACAAATGGCATCATATATTATGGCATCGCTAACCAAACGCTTCCCCTGTATCTACATTGTATAGCACGTCAGGCTATATGACGGTCCCCTGTAGGATACAGTTTCAATTCCTCTCGGAGAGCATATACTTCTATGAAATTTCTCGGACATTCATTTCATAATATATATATATATATATTCAAATATATATATATATATATATATATATATATATATATATATATATATATATATATATATATATAATGGCCTTTCCGTCGGTTTCGACATATGAGGATCTAACAACTTAACCAATTGATTCAGTTATGAAATTTTGTGCGATAATCTTAAGTGGCATTTAAGACCCGCTAGTGATTTACAAAGGAGGCCAAATATGGAGCAAGAGTGAGGAATGTGAGATGAGATCACTGTTAGATTGGCTGACCTTTTAGATCTTGCTCTCGCTTCTTGAAGATGATTCAGACAAGCAGATTGAAAATTGCTGAGTTCGCTAAAACACGTTGTTCTCTATTCTACCCGCTTCAAGTCTAGACGCTCAAGCCTGTTATGTAGTATATTGGTATATTAAATTTGGTATCTTGGATTCGTTAAGAAGATTGAGTAGAATTTATATAATTCTCTTCCCAAGAAAAATGATTGAAAACTCTTTTTTCTCTTTTTTCTTTCTTTTCTCTCCCAGAAAACTTATGAAATGAACAAAGTCGGACAGTTATTTTAATATATTTTCTGTTTATACGATATTTCTATAGATACAAATATTTAATAAACAGTATTAACAACATTTACCGGCCTGTATGAAAAGCAGTAATTGAACCTTGCTAACCAGACACTCCCTCTATAGCTAAATGACGGTCCCATGTAAGATACAACTTCGATCCTTCTCGGAATATTTTCTATGACAATTCTTGGACATTAAGGATCGAAATTTGATCAAAGTATGTCACACTTATGAAAAGAGACAGTAACTGGGCGCTAACAAAACTGGTCAAAATATTAACCTTCGACACGGATTTTTTCAGATATCTCAGTTCCTGAAAGAATTACTTTTTCCCAAGCGAACATACGTGACTTGGAAACGTTTAAAAATGTAAGAAAAGGGTTAAAATTCGTAATATTCTTTGATTTAAAATATATAAGGCCTAAATGAATCTCAAACTAAAATCATATCAATATTAATTGCATGAAAAAATCAGCAAAATAATTTAATTAATTTTGGTTACTAGACATTGAATTATGTCACTTAGCGTCCTCCATAATTTTCCAAGAATTTTCAGTTAGGCATATGAATATTTACGAGAGATTATTAAATTTAAAAATTTCGAAAAAATTGAAACATTTTCCATTTGATTATAAATATTTGTTGCAAAATAAAATCCTTACATTTGCCTTGATAAAGCCCATCCGAGGACGAAACGCTTCAACAAAGCTAAATTTCCATTTTGTCATAATCCATATATATATATATATATATATATATATATATATATATATAGTCATCCACAGACAGACTGTTTCGCTGTATTATAGCTCATCAGTGTAGCTAGACATCCGTTCGCTTCAGGCCGTAACCGAAACCCCACCCATTTGGTATCAGTTGGAGATTCTAATCCATCGACGCCCGGCAGAGAGATAGGTGAATTTTTGCGTGTTTATTTTTTCATAAACACACCAGTCACTCAGAGAACCCAATCGGTAGGAGAGACTTGCATTATCAGCATTAACAGTCATTGTTTACAAATTCGCTCCTTACTTTCCACGGTGCTCGACCGATTAAATTATTTTATCGACAGCTTATATTTTCATCCACAGGCGGACTCTTTCGCTGTACCCCAGCTCATCAGTGTGAATAGACACCCGATCGTTTCAAGCCGGGAACGAACACTTTCGCATCTAGCCAAAGACATTCAATTGTCCCTTTTTTTTTCTGAGTTTTCTTTCGAACCGGGATTACTAACTAAACCATCAAATAGGTTAGAATGATTAGGACAAAAATGTGTTACTATGGTCAAACACACTGACGAGTAGGGGGAGAAAAAAAAATACAATAAAATAAAATAAAATTTAAAGATTAAAAAAAAATAAAGAATTAAAGACAAAAAAAAATAGAAACAAATTAAAATGAGTTTTCGGTAGAGCGAAATTATACTCACACAGGGCAGCAAGTGTTTGTCCGCTTTCTTCCTCAGGATAACAAGTGAATGTACGGCTTACCTAAATCCAAGCATCGACCTGGTGGGGGAGGGGATCAACGACCAATCCTCCACTCTCACCAAATAGTGGGCTTGGGAGACATGCTTTCAATAAAATTAAGAACAACAGGAGAAAGAAACGGCGAAAACAATTCCAAGTTCAGACAATTTATCAAGCAAGAAGATTCGGCCACTACATCATGAGAATACTGACGAGACACTTTCGCATGTCAATCGACATCTCCAGTTGCCTTGATCTGTCAATTACCCTTCTTTTCATCTTTTCTTCTATCACTCATATCTGATCTTGCTCCAAATTTTCTGTAACCCCTTGCGTCCTAGTGGCTTCCCGCCTTGCTTGGGGTGAAACGCTTAAAAAAAAAAAATTGACATCTGTCGGAGATCCTAAACCCTAGACCATATATATATGTGTGTGTGTTTGTGTGATGGATATATTGTCGTCTTAATTACGTAGAAATCAAAATAACACTGACATCATATATTATCTGATAAATTTACCAAAATAATACAAAAAATATCATCAAATGCTAAAGTGTGAATTTATTCAATAAAATCACCATTGGCTTCAACCATGGTCTCCAGAGAGTTTCAGAATATACTGCATCTAGTCTGGATGGTCTCCCTGTTTAAGTTGATGAATGCCAAGCAGTACAGCATGTCGTTTCCAAATATCTGGCGGAGTGAATTGCCTCATGGTGCTCTTTTTCTCACAGACGGTGCCCAACTGACCCTGCTATACTGTGCAATCGACAAAATCCCAAAAAATCCCAAGGCGCATGTGCGAAATTAAAAATATAAAATTACGAGAATTTGCCCATCGCACGTTTGTATATGTATACTCGGCTCCAAATGTATTTCAATGGCAGAGGCATTTCATTTATTTCTGAAGACATTTGGATTTAACTTCAAAATATGAATATGAAACAAGTGCTAAAAATTTCAGCGTAAATTGTCTGATCTTTTTTTTTTTTTTAAGCATTTCACCTCCACGCTTTGCCTGATGAAGGTCTCAATACCGGTAACCCGTGTAGTAAAATTAAAGAAAATGAAGCATAATATTTTTTTAAAAAAAATCCACATTACAACCAAAAACTTTTGTGGTTTCTCTCTTCTTTTTAATATACTCATATTTCTGTCGTTGGAACTACTATAAACTCTTCCCTCTTATATATATATATATATATATATATATATATATATATATATATATATTGTTTCAATTATTGAGAACTCTTTCTAATACTTTCTCTTTATAAAGAGATACTACGTTATTCAAACCATGTTGGGAATTAATGATAATCTCATCTCTCAAATATTCTGACTGGTTTGGTTTGGTTTGATTCATTTTTCTATTTAATGCCAACAAGACTTTTATTGCCGTAAATATTTATTTTTCAAAAAATATATTGCTGGTAATAATTTTTTCTTCAAAAATTCATTGCTGGCAATAATTTTTTACAAAAATATATTACTGATAACCCAGTTAAATATTTGCCGATAGCTACCACCCCGGGTCAGGGTAGACCTGGGAACACTAGCAATTAAAAGATGGTTCCACGCCCCATAAAACTTCCTGACCTTGCTGTCGGATGTAGTTTATCGACTTCCCCACTAAGCGGATGTAGTTTATTGTTATACCCAGCACGGCGAGAATCTACGTGTCTATCTTTCTGGAAGTATTCGCATAAAACTCGTGTACCAAGGGTGCATTGTCTTGTTTGACAATATTGCTATTGTGACGAAAAATGGCCAGCTCGAAAGATATTAAAAGTATGAATGTGGGATGAACAGATGACCAAACGTGAATTGAAAGTTTTAAGTTTCTTGTAGATCGCGGCTTTGCCGCCCATCGACCAACGCGTCCTGTTAATCTTCAGTATTTTAATATTGGAGGTGACTTTTTCAGCGAGAATAAGCCAAGAGTCTAATGTCACAAGGGAAATTATTTTATCATTATATCTTATACAGATGTCTACCAAAAGATGTTTATTGACAGGATTTCCGGTGCTCCCTATCAAGTGAGTGGGGGGGGGAGGGGCTGTTCTATCAGGAAGACATTTCTTGAAATAATTCTCTTTTGTTGGTTTGAAATCGATGGATATGTAATATTATTAAATCTATCTATCTATCCTCTATCTATATTTCTCATGTTGTCTGTCTGTGTGTCTGTCGTGGGCGTTGTTACCTCGCCCAGGCCACATTTCTCACCCGATTTCGATGCGGTTTTCAACACAAGTTTGCAAATGGCTGCCGTAAGGACATGACGGAGCCTGATTTTTGAGTTCGGAATCAGGTTCCGAAAAATCGATAATCGAAAAATTCCGCTTACAGAAGGAATGATGATCGCATTTCAACCAAATTTGACCACCCTCCCCTAAACAGCGAGTAAAACCCACCATTATGTCGGTTTTAAAAATGAGCGGTCCATGAAGTTTCATCACCACGGACCCCATCCAAACAGAGTGCAAAAAATCGACCCTAAAACCCCAAAACCGGTATTGTGTTTATTTTGTTTAGTCTGAACAGCATGTCGGTTTTAGCGAAAAAAAGAAGATAGGGCAGGCATGTAACAACAAACAGCACGGCAAAGGGTACTCCTCTAAAAAAGGCAAGGAAGGGCAAAAATATTTTAAGTCTAGTGATAGCGATTGTTGTATTAGTCGTACTATTTTTGAATCAAGCACGGGCAACGCCGGGCCATGCTGCTAGTTAGATATAATACCGTTCAATCCTTATCGAAGGCCGTCCTGAGTATGGCGATAGGCTACATCCGACAGCAAGACCTCGCATCCGGATGTTTTGAGGCGCGTGAAACTGTCACGTGATTACTGCTGTCCCCGCTTCGTCCACTTTGACCTGGGTGGTACCATTTGTTACGGTTCCTGTCAAATCGGGAACCCCCCCCTCAAACTGGGGTTAAAACATTATGAATATATAAAAATAACATCTTTGTCGTAAAAATATTAGCAATATACTGTCATAGTAATATTACCAGCAATGAACATTTACACAGAAAAAAATTAGCTGCAATACAGTTAAAAAAATAAATGAATTAGCAAGGCTCTTAAGAAAATTAAATTTCGGCTTTAAATGACCCACTAAGTGTTGATATGTCGTTAAAAAATATAAAACTGTTGTGGATTCCGGGATGAAATCCGGTCTCAAATGAATGACAAACGCAGGAATGAAATATAGCAAATAAATATATTGACGTAATAATACAATTGGTAATACGGTTAGTAGATCCATAAATGCGGTTAGTAGCAATAATAATATATATATACAGTCTGGGTAATTTAGTATCGAAGTATGACATCCTTCTGAGTCTACGTGCTCGCAACTGTGACTCCTACAAAACGGTTACCTCACACTCTGACTCTCTCACTCCCGGGTATTCACCGGCAGCAGTACAATTACAAACTGGGCGAGACTACTTGTATGAAAAAGGGGTGGACCCCTTAACAAAACTAAACTGAATGTCTATAATGATGTTATCCAGATAACTTTTAGTAAGTTGTTTAATTGAACGTCCCTTTCATTGATTCAAACAATTTTAAATTCTCTCTTCTTATCTTCTGAATGTTTCTTATATTTCTGTCTCTCTCTCTCTCTCTCTGTCTTTAATTGATTTTCTCTCTTATATTCTTTACATCTTTTATTAAATTATTTTATGTGTTCCTAATCTTTTCTGTTTTTCCGGCCCTAACTGACAAGATATATTCAATAGTTCTGCCAGTTCAGACCTTTACAGCTGATAGCCAGCGTGTCACCTACACTGAGGCGTATAATTCCACATCCCTTTTGTATCCAATTGGTAAGAAGATCGTTCCATTCGGGCAGTCTCTTTCCAAGGAGTTCCATGTTGTGGAACAGACTCCCAAGAGGATCCTTCCCCGATTTTAACCGTTTCAATTGCTTGGCCAACCATTATCTTGTATTGCGTGAACGGTAGTGAAAGAAAGATGTATTTCTCTTTCCTGCTTTTGCTATATAACAGGTCTGCACAAAATACGAACAGTGGGTCGCACGGAGTAGGCATGACTACTTAGACTTGGTGTTATGGCCCGGTTCCTTGTATCACGGTGATAGTCCAAGGTAGAACCAATAAAGAAGAACTCGAACACGGATATGGAATAACACAGATATATTTCAAACAGGGATATATACAGAGAAGTAGAAAATGTTAGTACGAACAATCAGGTTTAGTAGGGAGAACAATGTAGTCTCGACCAGTATCACTATTCCAATGTCTTGGAGTAATTGTTTGAACGCGACTCTGTTTACTTTACTCTCTCTTTCTTCTTTCTTTCCATCATTCTCCTCTTTTACATTACTCTCTCTTTCTCCATTTCTTCTCTCTTTCTTTTTCTTTTTCATTCTCTCTTTTACTTCTTTCTTTCCATCATTCTACCTCTTTTTTTTTTTACTCTCTTTTCTTCTGTCTTTCCATGATTCTCTCTTTTTTCTTTTCCATGATTCTCTCTTTCTCTCTTTCTTTTCTTTCCATCATTCTCCTCTTTTATTTTACTCTCTTTTCCATCATTCTCCCTCTTTTATTTTACTCTCTCTTTCCATGATTCTCTCTTTTTTACTTCTTTCTCTTTCTTCTTTCTTTCTTCTTTTTTTCTATCATTCTCCTTCCATCTTTTCCTTTTTACTTTCTCTGTCTGTTATGGTCCGGTTCCTTGTACCACGGTGGTAGTCCAAGGTAGAACCAATAAAGAAGAACTCGAAGGCGGATATGGAATAACACAGATATATTACAAACAGGAATATATACAGAGAAGTAGAAAGTGTTAGTACGAACAATCAGGTTTAGTAGTAATTGTCTGAACACGACTCTGTTTCGGACTGCCTCTGACTGATTCGCTCCCAAGTGGTTGGAATGTCGTACTGACGAGGCCGATTTAATGTGGGATCTTCGAGCCCGTGGTCTCGGGCAAAAATATGCCCTTTGAACCCGTATAAACGGGTTCAGGGTCGGTTTACCTCCCCGAAAGAGAATCCGCCCTACGGCGTAGCCTCGTTCGGGTTCCTCCCCGCCCGAAGGCAGAGAGTTCAACCGATCAGCCGATCAGCCACTCGCCCGACTTGGGACTGAACGATATTCAGTCACCCTCCCACGAGGGCATCATGTGGCACGAGGCCTTTTTAACGTGGGATCTCCGAGCACGTGGGCAGTACCAAAAATATGCACATTGAACCCGTATAAACGGGTTCAGGGTCGGTTTACCTCCCCGAAAAAGACTCCGCGCTACGGCGTAGCCTCGTTCAGGTTCCTCCCCGCACGAAGGCAGAAAGTTCAACCGATCAGCCGGTCGCCCGACTTCGGACTGAACTCTCTGCTCCTCTTGAGGCGAAGTATTTATTACGTATGGAATAGTCCATTATGTTATTATGGGTAAGGTCCCGTAACACATGGACCTCGAAGAGTTTTCGAAATAGTCAGTTGTTTTTTTATGTTCATCAGAATAATTTCAGCTACGGGTTGTGTACGAAAATTTCAGTTATTTCGGAGATTCACTTGAACAATTACCCGATGTTCTTCTAAAATTGGGGCGTATCTCGTTTTTTTTTTTTATTACTGTTTTACTGTTTATATCTCTCCACCTCTCTCTTTTCTCTCTAAAGGGGCTCTTGTTTTTTTTTCTCTTTTACTACTTATATCTATCTTTCTCCAGAGTCTGTCTATATTTCTGAGATGAGGTACTATGTACATTATTTACATTATTCGGACTATTGTCCTCATCTTTGTCTCCATATTTATTACAACGTTTCGCCCCTTCAGTATCTGTCTATATTTCTGAGATGAGGTATTATGTACACTATTTACATTATTCAGACTATTGTCCTCATCTTTGTCGCCATATTTATTACAACGTTTCGGCCTTTCAGTATCTGTCTATATTTCTGAGATGAGGTACTATGTACATTATTTACATTATTCGGACTATTGTCCTCATCTTTGTCGCCATATTTATTACAACGTTTCGGCCTTTCAGTATCTGTCTATATTTCTGAGATGAGGTATTATGTACACTATTTACATTATTCGGACTATTATCCTCATCTTTGTTGCCATATTTATCACAACGTTTCGCCCCTTCAGTATCTGTCTATATTTCTGCGATGAGGTATTATGTACATTATTTACATTATTCGGACTATTGTCCTCATCTTTGTCGCCATATTTATTACAACGTTTCGGCCTTTCAGTATCTGTCTATATTTCTGAGATGAGGTATTATGTACACTATTTATATTATTCGGACTATTGTCTTCATCTTTGTTGCCATATTTATCACAACGTTTCGCCCCTTTAGTATCTGTCTATATTTCTGAGATGAGGTATTATGTACATTATTTACATTATTCGGACGATTGTCCTCATCGTTGTCGCCATATTTATCACAACGTTTCGGCCTTTCAGTATCTGTCTATATTTCTTATATGATGTTCTATGTACATTATTTACATTATTCGGACTATTGTCCTCATCTTTGTCGCCATATTTATCACAACGTTTCGGCCGTTGTACGCACCGACCTTCTTCAGGTGGTTGGAATGTCGTACTGAACCCTTTAGTTCGCTCCCTTCTCTCTCAAGGACACATGGCGCAGTCGATAAAGACGTTGATTAGATCCAGTGACAGAACCCCAAGAGTGTGAGTTCAATACTTGGTTAAGGCAGTGGAGAACTTTCAGAGGGAAATTAACAGGAGATAACTGATAACTCCATCAAACATGGCACGTGAAACTAGAAAAGTCTACCCCAGTGAGCGAAATAAAGGGTTTTCTGTTCGACATTCCAACCTCCGGAAGAAGGCCGGAGCGTACAACGGTCGAAACGT